CCCTAAGCCCTGATACGGTTGATGATATGAATCCTGCATTACCCAGAATAAGGAATATTCTATACCATAATTCCCATAGTTTAGGGTCCTTAGGGTAATGCAGGATTTTTATCATCAACCATATCCCTAAATCCTGAAGCCTTCGCACCGGAAATTTTGAGGTGGGCACAAAGTCCGTCTTCGCCCCTAAGTTGGTCGCTGCAGGAGTGAGGACCTGCGACAGGCAGATGACCCGGAGAGCGCTATACACTATACTGAACTTAGAACCCTAGCAAAAATCAAAAATGTAGCTGTTTCTTAGGGATTATAACAACCAAATATTAAAAACTGTTTCTAAGTACCCCTAAGTACACCTTAACTTCAGGTGTTTTGCACAGGAGGCTCCCCTAGACCCTTAACCCTCAATACAGTGCAGTTTTATGTAAGTTGTATATAGATCCATCGACTGCAAGCAACCCCCCAATTCAATGGATACTCCGTAATTAAGTTGGAAAGAGTTTCTTTAAGTACTCTGGCATTCTATGGTTTAAATAAGTTTGAGGAATACAGCCTACCTGTGGAATTGGGCTGTTTGGGAGGCTGCTCTTTTCTAAATGTTTCTAATCCACGTCGAAGCGCTTAGAACTTGGAGTTGATAAACCCCGCCCCTACTCAGAAAGCTCCCATCACCTCTCCCACAGCGACTCAGAGACGTTTTAGGCCGAAGGGCTTGAAGGTACGTTCATATGCTGTTCTTCAGCCCTAAACCCTAAACCCTCGCCTAAACCCCAAACCCTAAACCCTGAACCCCATACCCTAAACCGTAAACCCTGAAACCATAAACCCTAAAACGCAAATACCCTGAAGCCCACCTCCTCCACGGTGATGTACTGAAACATCTTGGCATAGTCAACCAACCTCATTAGGGCCCCCCAAAAAGCACATAAGCAAAAATTAGGGTAGGGATATCCCATATAAACCCCCTTATAATGAAGCCCAATAAGGTAGGGATATCTCTATCAAATGTTTATGCTTATGTGCTTTTCGGGTCCCTAACTCATGGCTGCTCTTTTCCTGGGGGCCCTTCTTGAGGAGCTGAACGTAATGTAGGCTACGATCCCAAACGCAGTCTGTGTAGATTTCTATGATAACTATACTTCTGCACTATTAAAGGCATCTAGCTACATATTTAAGCCTATATGTTGATACGTGTTCGCCAGCTTTCTGTCTCGAAACCCTACTTGGAGGTCCCTGGGTAGTCGTAAGTGGGCTACAAGTATCCTAATATGGGTTATACTTACAGTGAGCGTAAAAACTCCACCTATACAACTACACATGAACCTGCAAGTAGACCCTAAACCCTAAATCCCTACAAGAACCCGGAAAGGAACCCTTAGGGGGACCCTTATCACTACACATGAACCTCCAAGTAGACCCTAAATCCTAAGTCCCTAAACGAATCCTTAAAGGAACCCTTGAAGGGAAGCTTAAAGGAACCCTTAAGGGCACCCTTAAAGGAACAACCCCAGGACGATCACCGACTGGATCGATCCGAGCTCGCGGCATGAAGTCGATCGCCGTCTTCTCATCCACCGTACCACCGACGACCTCGGAAAGCATGGCGTTTTAGGGTTTAGGGTTTAGGCTTTAGGGTTTAGGGTTTCATCTCTTATGTCTCGAACTATCTGAGCCAAGCTCACGAGTAAGTGACTTTCACTTGCGATGCCCTACTCGACTGAGACTTGGCTCTCAATTACTCTTGTTTTCGACGATCTTAGACCACTCCGAAGTATAATCTTGCTGCTGGTTGTGCAGGCACTGAGGCAACTAATGTAGGGGCCTTAATAATTAGAAAAGGGTTTTGAGGCCCAGTATACTATAACTATAATAAGGAACCCCCAAGATAGAATAGGTAATTATTAAGGCCCCTATACTAACTGTAGGCCTCAGATCACGAACTGCGCAGCTGCTCCCTGAAACGGTGCCCGGCACCGAAGATCAGGGAGCAAAGAAACCGTGAAGTTTTGTTGGAGGCTCATGGGTAGTTAAAAGTGGGGTGATAAGTCGGGTTACTGTACTTTTAATTCATATTGGGGGACTTATAACCCACTTATAACTACCCATGAACCTCCAAGTAAGTCCCATATCCTAACCAAGTGGTGTCCAGGGTGTAGAATAAGGGTTTAGGGCTCAGGGTTTGGGCTTTTGGGTTTTTGGTTTAGGATCAAAAACTTACAAGAGGATTCATCTTTATTTCGTGGTTATATCTTGAACCCTGTCGCCTCTACGATGAATGCAAATTCTGTGCCCAACGCCACAAGCTGCCTATGGCAACTGGACACCTCACCCCCACGGCTCATATAGAGGCCTTAATCATTTCAATATGTTGTACGATACTGACTATACTTATAAATCCTGAACCGTAACTTCTGCATTATTCCAAGCTTAAGCTGGGATTCCCACCCGCAGGTGCGTGGGCGGGAAGAAAGCTAAGTAGTGGCCCGGGTATGCATAGCACTCGAAGCGGAATGCGCCCTGGCATCGGGCAGAAATCTCTGCGGAGTCCCCAATACTAAGAAAAAGGTTTGGGTTAGGGTTTAGGGTTTAGGGTCGGAGTCCCTAATACTAAGATAAAGGTTTTGGGGTAGGTTGCGTGGGCTAGTAGCGACTCTAAACTCAAAACCACGGGAATACATGGGAATAGTATATGATCAATTACACCTAAAGCCGTAAAAGGCCCCCGCATACGGCCCGTTATTACACACTGCGCCAAAATGGTAACACTGTTTCTATAGCTGTTCCGAGCCCTAGATACTACTCTTACTACTAGATACCCTAAGCTTCTCTGTGTTCCACGGCTTTGTGGCGCCAAAGATCTTGACAGGTCGGTCGAGGGTTGCTCTTGGATGTGATCTAGCGTTCAGGGTTTGGGATTTAGGAGTTTGGGGTTCGGGGTTTGGGGTTTGGGGTTTAGGGTTTGGGGCTTAGGGTTTGGGGTTTAGGGTTGAGGGTTTACCGTCGATGTTCCAATTCGAAAAACATGCTTGGGACGAATCTGGCTGAGCTTCATGCCTGAACACTTCTGGGGAGCAGAAAACTGTCGACAAATGTCAAAATCAACCTCGCAGCCAGCGATACATCCGAAGGTTCGATGCCTGACTGCCCGAACCACAACCCAGAACAACACCGATCGCCGAATTGAACCCTAAACCAAAACAAGACGTGCGTCTTGCTTTGATAGATAAAAAAGCTTGGAGTCTGCAGAGGTTGCGGCAACGAGCCGGATGCCTTGAAGACATCACTGGCGACAGCAATGAAGTGAGCCTGGGTCCGCGGCTTGAAGGTCGTGTAAGGCTTACAGTCTTGGAGGTAGGATCTGCTGTTCCCAAAAGCGTACTTTGACATTCGCGGTAGAGTTTGTATCTGTACTGACACCCGTGGGGAAAAATGATGCGGAGCGTCCAGGGTTAGCATCATTTTTGTTATACTCCTGGGTTTTCCGAGGCCCCAACGCTTTCCGCCATCTGCCCAGGGCTGAGGATCACCTGCAATGGAGCTCCTTACGGGGTTTTGGGTTTCGGGTTTGGGGCCAAGGTTTAGGGCTGTTTAGGGTACGGGGTTTGGGGCTTAGGGTTAAGGGTTTGGGGCTCAGGGTTTAGGGCTCGGGGCTAAGGGTTTAAGGATTGAGTTTGGGGCTAAGGGCTTAAGGTCTAGGGTTAGAGGCGGGTTTAGGCTTAGGGTTTAAGGTTTGTGCCTTAGGGTCTAGGGTTTGGGGCTTAGGGTTCAGTGTTGGGGGTTAAGGGTGCAGGCCTGAAAGAGTCACGGGACTTCATCACCAGGTCATGATACAGGGTGTAACGGAACCCGACACCCAACAGAATCAGGGAAGTCCCCACAATCCTCAGAAGCGGTTTCCTTTCAAAGGATTCTTGGAAAGGCGTCGATAAACGTTACCCTATGAGGTACTATTGGTGTTCGAGATACGGGCCTCAATGACTAGAAGTGGGTTTTCTACCAGGGTTGCCATAAGGATTAGAATGAGTACTATTGTATATTGGTAATAGCATGGTGATAACTGTAATGATAGCTTATTCAGGCACTTTTCTTAGCTACTGTTGCCGCTTGGAGTCTTGGGTTTTGGAGCCTTAATCCAGAGACTCCGAAACCCCTCAATTAAGGAATATACCTTACATCATTTCGGGGTTCCTATTCTAATTTAATTAAGGTATACTCCCAATAGATCCCTTACTGATCCCTTTAAAGATCCCTGTAAGGAGCCCTCAAAGGGTAGATTCCTTAATTAAGGGGTTTTGGAGTCTCTCGGAACGGCCCTCAGGAGTTTTAGCTTTGGGCCCGGATTTCGGCTTGTGGTTTCTCGGCGGGTTTCGAGACGTTCAGATTGTACCGGCTTGGGTTTAGGGTTTCGGGTTTAGGGTTTGGAGTTTAGGTCTTTTTTGAGCAATTTTCCGTCTATCCAAGAGCTTAGGGTTTAGGGTTTAGAGTGTAGGGTTTAGAGTTTAGGGTTTAAGAGTCTAAAGTTTAGAGCGACTTCCACGGTTGAGGAAAAGTCGCCGTGCTGCCACTCGGTGAGGGAAGCTCCCGGCTTGAGCATGCTTCCGTGAAGAAAGCACGCTTGGAGGGTCGGGGGACTTAGTAAGTAGGTAGCAAGTAGACTTATAACCACCCTCAAAGGGACCCTAACTGGGGTTATGGCACTTATAAGTCCCTAAAATAACCAGTTACTAAGTCCCCTGACCGTCCAAGCAGGGAGGGCATAGCATTTAAGACTGCAGGGTTTGGTTTCGGGTCCAGGGATTTAGGGTTTAGGGTCTTTGTGTTCATGGAGAAGCGGAACGTGAAAAGCGCGCGGAGGGGCACAAGAACCAAATATGAGAGTATACTCTGTTGATGCGGGATGGTTCTATCAAGCTCAGCCAACCCAAAACACACCGGGAAAGCATCATTTCAACTCTTTTTCCGACACTGAAACACAGTTGCACACGAATGGGCCGGTGGGAAGATCACTTGGCGGCTGAAAGAGCAGTGGTGTAGAGACGCGCGATGCAGTAGGTGCTGTCCATCCACCTCAACATCTCTCTCCTCACCCTAAACCCTAAACCCTAAACCCTAAACCCTACACCATTGTCGACCCCGAAGCCCTACACTCTGATACCCAAAGCTCGCATGGTCACGCCAAGACATTCCCACGCCTGAACCCCATATCCCCAAACCCTAAACCCCAAAACCCTTAAAAACCCTAAACCCCAGACCCCCAAACCCTGAACCCCTAAACCGCTAAATCCCAAACCCTAAACCCCCAAGCCCTTATAAGTACCATAACCCCAATTAGGGTCACTTTTAGGGTACTTATAAGTCTACTTACTACCTACTTACTACGTCCCCCGACCCTCCAAATATCCCACATCAAAGACTGATGGGCCCATAAATTCACGGCCCCGAGACTGTACCACCAGTAGGAAAGAGTGCTTCGGCTTTCGAGGTTAAAGGTTTAGGGTTTAGAGGTTTAATGTTTAGGGTTGAGGGTTTAGAGCTCTAGGGGTGTAGGGTTGTCTAATCTCTTGGGGCAAGCTCATGACCAAGTCGCCAGACAGCAACAAGCAACGAATGACAAAACAAGGAGCATGGCAAGAAGCAGCATCATAGCCACAACCCACACTGCTGTCACCTCCGCCGCACTAACAACAACACCACCGCCGCCGCCGGCCCCACCACCACCACAACGAACACCCCCACCACCCCCACCAAGCCCCACAACCATCATCACTGCCATCACTGCAGCCGCCACCACAGCCAACAGTCGATTCATTATCACGGCGATAAACACGGAATAACACAAACTCTCGGATTCCTGTTGGTAAGGATGTTGTCACCAATGTCATCCTTTGCCCGGGCATCTGTACTGCGGTAGTTGCTGTTAAGTTGGCGTGCATAACTGCTGTTCCCTGCAGCCACGTATCTGCCCAACTCTGAGTTGTCCTTTAAGCCAATTGAAAAGGATTTACATTTATGGCTCTCGACAAAATAGCAGGGGAAATTTAAGAGGATCCCAAAGAACAACCTAGGACTGTGATTTCATGGTCACTGCATCTACTACTGCCGGCAATGTTGTGAATGAAGCGTCGCTAGCGCTGGTGTCGCGGTAGCTGGCGCTGGTGTCGCTGGTAGTCTAGCTGCGGCATAGTTGTTATTATAAAGGTTACTTACTCTACTACTAGGGTTCACTCACTATATTTTATGGAGTCGCCAGGCGGCGCGAGTGTGCGTAGCCCAACCACAGCGTTGTTGTTGCCCCCAAGGTAGAAAGCCGTGTACCTTGAGTCGAAGCCCTGGACAACAAACCGCAAAGCCCAAACCCTACACCCTGAACCGTTAACCGTTATCCCTAAACCCTAAACCCTGAACCCTAGACCCCAAAGCCTAAACCCTGAACCAGTACTGACCACTCATCCCTGAACCCGAAAGCCTGAACCCTAAACTCTAAAGCCTAAAGCCTGGACCTTGAACCCTGAACCGATGTTCAGAGGTTAGTTTAGGGTTTGAGGTGGAGGGTAGATCGCTAGAGGCCTTGCTGAGACCCGTGCTTCTGAGGAGGGATTTAGGGCTGTGGGTTTAGGAGTTTAGGGTGAAATTAGGGTTTAGCATTCAAGCACTGATGATCTGTGGCTGAGTCAAGCTTTAGGATTTGAAGGACAAGGTTCGGGCTTCAGGGTGGCGGTGTTGAATTGAAGGCTTTCTGCTGGGACTCGTGGGTGTCAGGTGCACTCGCTACAAAAAGTCATTCAAAGTCTTGTGAAGGGTTTAGGGTTTAGCGAGGCAGAACACAGAGACTTCAGGGTACAGTATTGGTAGTTTTGTCGGCTCATTTACAGCCCTGGCGCCTTTTCGCAGCAAACACAGCCTGTCACGTATGTCTAACCATGCAAAGCTACGGTGTTCCAAGAGCTAGCCTGATGTTTGAACTTTAAACCCGAACCTTGAACTCTAAACCCTGAGCCTTAAACCCTAAACTCTAAACCAGAAGCCCTGAAGCATGCAGCCACGACCGTCTACTAAGGTTCACCGCCCGGGCGCAGTATGCGCATGAAGAGGTAACGGTAGCACAGCCGCGCTGCCTGCAGAGTCCAGCTGGCGTACACATTTGGTAACAGCCCCAATCCTGACCAAAGCATGACCAAGGTTCCAGCTGGCATGCTCGGGATGACAGGTTTGGGGCACTTTGGGCAAAAGGCTTGGGGGCTTCAAGGCTCGGGGGTTCAAAGCTTGAGATTTAGCATGCACTTGTTCACTTTAAGCTTGCACTGGGAGGAATCCTAAATCCACAAACCCGGAAACTCAAATCTGCAATCCAGAACCCTTTACACCAAGTTCCTGGTCTCCAAAGCCTGACCCAGAGACTGGCATCGACAATAGGTTCATGGGCACGAATATTCCTCAGCCCCCTGATAACATTAGCACACTAGTCGTCCTGCATACGTACAAAGCACATAACAACCCCGCACAACCCGACAATCTGCTAGAAACCCTGAACCCTAAACCCTAAACCCTCAGAACCAAGAACCCTAAACCCTAAACACTAAGAACCCTAAACAAGAACCACCCGAATGAACCACAACCGCATGCAGGGCATGCCTGAATGAGACGATATAGTGAAACCTCCAACCCCGAACTCCAGCAAGCCCAGATCTAAACGCTGTTTAGGGTTTAGGGTTCAGGGTCTACACGCTGAGCCCTACACCCTGAAGCCCTATACTAAAGCCCGAAACCCTTAATCTTGAACCCCTCTAAAACCCGTATAGAGTCGATACAGAATCCATGAGAACCCTGTAGAGTACCGGTGGAAACCTGAAGCCCGCAAAAGCCAAACAGTTGCAAGACTCTCACTCTGCGCCTCCATGGGCTTGGCCTTCTGCAGCCTTTCTTAGGGGCTGAGTACCCTAGCCAAAACACAAGTTGACCTTTGCAACTATGGTAGGATGATAAAAACCCCAAAAGGTTAAAGGTTACCTACTCAGCCACTAAGCTTTCAACAGATTACGGAAGAAAGCTTGTTCTTCTTGCCTGGATTGAACTACCATAACCTCATCTCTTGTAGCTTCATTTTGTAAAGCCGGATACCGAAGTTCTAGGTGGTTCAAGGGAGGCCCGGTTGAAGGTTTCGGGCTTTGTGGTCATTTAAGGGCCTGAGCTTGAGGGCCTTGGGGTTGAAGGTCTGAGGTCTCAGGTTTTGGGGTTTAGGGTTTAGGGTTAAAGGGGCTTAAAGCTGAGAGGCTTTAGGGTTTTAGGGTTTAGGGTTTTAGGGGTTTAGGGTTTAGGGATAAGGGGCTTAAAGCTCAGAGGTTTAAGGTTGGTGGGTTTAGATATTTGGGGTATGGCCGCGCTTCTCGCAAAGTTACACATGGGTGGTTGTCAAAATTAGGGTCGCTTTTGGGGTCCTTAAGATCGTACGGCACCTAATATCTAGGGTACCCAAAAAGGGACCCTAATTTTGACAACCACCCACATGTCAAAGACCAAGTGAAGGGCTAAGGATTGGACTTGGAGGGCGAAGGGTTCCGTGTTTCGCGGACGAGGTTACTCTAAGCCCTATAAGCCCTATACCCTAAACCCGAACCCAAAACCCTAAACCCTCCACCCCATTTCCTAAGCGCTTTTTGGGTTGAGATTTGTGGGTTTCACAGATTTGCCTTTTCTGGGGTAGCAGGTGCTGATGTTTTCTATGCTTCTTCCAGGATACCCAGTAACCTAAGAATAAAAAGGCCTCTCTTTTTGGTATTGGGTAACTTTATAAGGAACCTAGGACTACAAAAAGGTAATAAGGGTACTACTGGGCATCCTAGTCTTGTTGCTCCTGGGTAGGATCCTCTGGGAGAGATCTGGCCCCAAGTCCAAAGACGAATGCTTTCGTAGACTATTCTGAGTTACTCTTGCTTGGAAAGTGCGGGGAATGATGGCATGTGTTGAGATTGTGTTCGAAGCCCCCAAAAGCCAAAAGTCACGCAAACTTAATACCTCACCAGTTGCAGCAGAAGGAGCTTGCAAAGAATCACGGCTGCAGCAAAGGCCGGGAAACTCCCTAAGGCATTCCTGGGTGAGTCTTCCGAAATGGGAGCTTCCGAGAATTAGGGGGTACCTTGTTTTGGGCTCCTTATAATAAGCATCCTACTATTTAGAGGATCCCCTATTTTCGGAAAATCCCAAATGGTATGGGGGGGGGTTCAGGTTTTGGGCTTATGGCTTTGCAAACTCAATCGTTGAGGCTTTATGGAGTCAATTTTGCAGGGCTTCGGGGCTAGGTTTTGGGTTTTGGGGTTTAGGGTGCAGTTTACGGATTGGAGGGAGGCTTGGATCCCCGTAGGTTGCAATAGCAGGCTAGTATACTCGTGAAGACTCTTTGCACGATGGCTTCACCCTATCCCCTAAACCCTCCGAGAGATAAGGCCTAATGTCATGGACATGTTTACTCCAGCTCTGGCTAAACCCTAAACCCTAAACCGGGTGGGATTGAGGGTCAGGGCTGAAGGTTCAAGGCCACAGACTTGATTCCGCACAAGCACATGCAAGACCTCCTCTGGCATAAACCCCGAACCCTAAACAAACCCAAATTCGAAGCACTAAACCCCTGATTTCCTGAGTAGCTTATAATAAGGGTACCCCTTTTCCCTACTATTCGGTTCAAATAAGGGAACCCTGAAGTAATAAAAACAAAAAATACGAATTACTCAAAAACATGTAGACCGGTTCCTTACTTGGAGGGTCGGGGGACTTAGTAAGTAGGTAATAAGTAGACTTATAAGTACCCTAAATAAGGGACCCTAATTTGGGCTTAAGGGTAGTATAGGGTTTAGGGTTTAGGGTAGACTTATAAGTACCCCTAAATAGGGGACCCTAATTGGGGCTATGGTACTTATAAGTCCCTAAAACAACCAGTTACTAAGTCCCCCGACCCTCCAAGCAAAGAGTATTGATCCGAGGCAGCTAAGCTGCACATGGCACGCAAGGCAGCGCTGGATGAGCTTCCTCGGACATACGGTTTAGGGCTTAGGGGTTTAGGGTTTGGGGGTGTAGGGTTCAGGGTTACGGACGTCATCAATCAAGGGTTACTGCAACTTTAGCTGGCAGTGAGTGGTGGTCAAACTCGAAACCGCAAACCCTACACATCCCTACATCTCCTGAACCCCAAATAAACCCTGAAACCATAAACTCCTTCAAGGCCCCAAAGGGCTGCCCCTTCTCCGGTGAGCTCAGGAGCATATTAATATCAAAATTGAGTGCGGGTGTTGTATAATAGTGTATAGTTATGGCGCAACAGTACAGCTAGGGCAGCTAGGGTATGGAAAAGTACTTGTGGCATAAGAATATGGCTCCTAACCCTAAAATCTTACCCCAAACCCTCAACTTTAAACTCTGAACTCCTAAACTCTGTTCCGATTATTCTATGATTAAGGCCCCCAAAGGGCTGCCTAGTCTCAACATCTAGCCATGGCATACCAGTTAGATATTGTATATTAATACCCAAAACTTGGAAAACCCTAAATCCCATATCGGCATATTCATCTGGTAGTTATGGTGTCATAAAACAAACTCCAAAAACCCAAAAATGTCTGCGGTATAACAACCCGAAACTCTAAACCCCAAATCTCTCGGGATACCATTGGGGCGAAGGGAGGGGAGCAGCGGCAGAATACACAGCGCACAACCATACTACCCCAAACTCTAAACCCTACACTGGCCGTAAACTGGCCCTAAACCCTGAATCCATGTATACCCTAATCTCTGAACCCCGAAACCCTAAGCCCCATATTAACATAGCCCAGTCTCCGGTGAGCCACGGTCTGTTCAATTTCGACAGCGCGCGGCTCACGGCTCTCCCGATCCCGACTCCTCCTGGGCGCTTTGGAAAGGGCCTTCCATACTCAGAGCTTCATGGGCAGTTATAAGCTATATGTAAGGTTATAAGTAGGGTAACTGTACCTACCCCCCCATATTAGGGGACTTATAAGTAGGGTTAAAAGTAAAACTATACTACAGCCCTTAACTAAAGGATCTAGAGTACTATAAGGGCCTTCCATTCTTGGAGGTTCCTTCAAGGGTTCCTTCAGGAGTTCTATGAGGTTTAGGAGGTTTAGAGTTTCGTGTCCACTTAGAGCTTCATGGGCAGTTAGAAGCTATAAGTAGGGTTATAAGTAGGGTAACTATACCTACAGCGCATATTAGGGGACTTATAACCCGAGTTATATACTGTAGGGGCCTTAATAATTACTTTAAAGGGATCCTTGAAAGGGTTCTATAAGGGATCTGGAGTAGGGTTCCATACTCTAGGGGCCTTCCATACTCGGAAGTTCCTTTAAGGGTTCCTTCAAGAGTCCTGTAGGGTTTAGGGGGTTTAGAGTTGTGTGTCCACTTGGAGGTTCATGGGCAGGTAGAAGTCGTGTTATAAGTAGGGTAACTATCTTAGAACCCATATTAGGGGACTTATAACCCCAGTTATAGCCACCCATGAACCTCCAAGTAGAATAGGGCCAGGGTAGGTGTAGGGGTTATATGTGCCCGCGCTCCGCGTTCTCGACCCCCCCCCCCCCCCCCAATGGTATCCCCCCCCCCCGACCCGGGCGACCACACAACAAGAACAAGAACAAGAACAAGAAGAAGAACAGCAGCAACAACAAAGCAGCAGCAACCACGCGGAGGAACCACAGGAACCACAGGGGGGGAGGGGGGAGACAGGAACCAGAAGAACCACAAAAGGGAGGGGGAAAACCAAGAGGAACCACAGGGGGGGGGGGGAACCACAGGAACCACAGGGGGGGGGAGGGGGATTACCATGGGGGGGGGGGGGGGGGGGGGGGTGCGCGGATGCTGGCACATATATAGGGTTTAAGGTTTAAGGTTTTTCCAGGATTTATACAGGGCTTGAGGCTTAGGGGTTATATAGGGCGCTTTGGAAATGACCTTCGACTTGGAGGGTCCGGGGACTTAGTAAGTAGGCAGTATGTAGACTTATAAGTACCAAAAAAGGCATAGTACTTGAGGTTATGGTACTTATAAGTCAATAAAGTAACCAGCTACTAAGTCCCCCGACCCTCCAGGCATAATCAGAATAGGGCCGGGGTAGGTGTAGGGGTTGTAGAGGGTTTAGGGGTGTTCTAGGGTTTAGGGTTCGGGGTCTATGGGTTATTTAGGGTGTAGGGCTTAGGGGTTATATAGGGTTTAGGGTTGAGGGTCTAGGGTTTGACTTCTCCCTAAACCCCTAAACCCTAAACCCGAAACCCTAAACCTTAAACCCTAAACCCTAAACCCTAAACCTTAAACCCTAAACCCTAAACCCTTAACCTTAAACCCTAAACCCTGAACCCTGAACCGATCCCGAAACCCCGGGCTTCAATTTTTCAGAACTGCCCCGTCCTGTGAGCAGCAGTCTGCTCCAGGTCATTCGTGCGCGGGTCTCGGCTGCCGTGCTCCCGGTCCCGACTACTTCTCCTGCAGCTCTTTTGGCGTAAAAGGTGTCCTTAAAGGTGGGTTTAGGGTTAAGGGTTCAGGGTTTTGTGGTTTTTTTTAAGTTGAACTGCACCCTTTCTCCGAAAAAGGGTTTAGGGTTTTGTGGTTTAGGGTTCAGGGTTCAGGGGGTTTAGGGTAACTGAACTAGGGGTCGATTTCAACAGCCCCCCAAATGATTTAACGACCATGGCTCTATGTGTTAGACAATCGGGGGAAATTAAAGATTACACCAAATGGGAGTTTCCGAAAATAGGGGACCCTGATAAAGTACCCGAAATAGTAGGAGGGATCCCAAAATAAGGTACCCCTAATTTTCGGAAACTCCCAAATCGACACCCAGTCAAAGGTGGGTTGCATGAGTCTCGGATGATCATTGAGTGCGGCAAACCAGGGTTTAGGGCTTAGGGTTTAGGGGTTCGACATGAGAGAACAACACAGTGTAGCGTAGATTAGAATAGGCTTTTTGGGATCCTTTACTATGAAATGGAACAAGTACAATAAAGAATCCTAGGAATTGTCTTGGTACTTATTTAGGCTGCTATATGAACAACCTTTCGGAACGGAGGCTGGCGACATGACAAGACAAACGTCTTCTCATCAGTCATCAGGTACTTGGAGGATCGAGGGACTTGGTAAGTACGTAATAAGTAGACTTATAAGTACCCTAAAAGGGACCCTAATTTGGGCTTATGGTACTTATAAGTCCCTAAAATAACCAGTTACTAAGTACCCCGACCCTCCAAGTAATACTTGCTCTTTTTATGTTGAGCAGACCAGTAACTCGAGCAACAAAGTGGCGAACATGTGGGTGGTTGTCAAAATTGTGGTCCCTTTGTGGCTACCTTACATAATAGGTGCCGTACTATATTAGGGACCCTAAAAGGGACCATAATTTTGACAACCGCCCATGTGGCTCCACATATTCTACACGGATCTTGGGTTTTGGGTTTATTTAGGCTTGCGCCCTGAGCCCTAGGAACCTGAGACCCTGAACCCTAAACTTTAGGATTTAGGGTATGTGCATGCCCCACTACTTTCCTTGCCATTTTCCGACAGGGCCACATCGAATCCAGAATCCCTTGAGTCAATCGTAACACCCAACCTCGAACCCAGGACCAGTGGTTTGGGGTTTAGGGTTTCTGGGATTTACCTGGCAGGGGGCTCCTGGATTTTGAGGGGTTTCCTAAACCTTAAACCCTAAACCCCTAAACCCTAAACCCCTAAACGTCTCCTGTGAGAACCTTTCTGCTCCAGGTCCGTCGTGCGAGCACCTTTCTGCTCAAGGTCCGTGGTCCGCGGCTCTCGGTTGGTGTTCTCCCGCGTCCTCCACTTGGAGGGTCGGGGGACTTAGTAACTTGTTATTTTAGGGACTTATAACTACCATAACCCCAATAGGGTCCCTTTTAGGGTACTTATAAGTCTACTTACTACCTACTTACTAAGTCCCCCGACCCTCCAGCAGTTAGGAATTAGGGTTTCGGGTGTGGGGTTTAGGGGGTTTGGGGGCTTACGATTTAAGGTTTAAGTGTCTAGGGGGTTAGGGGTTTAGGGTTTAAGTGTTTAGGGGGTTAGGGGTTTAGGGTTTAGGGCCTTAAGGTTTCGGGGGTCAGGCTTGAGGGTTTAGGGTTTAAGGTTGGGGATTCAGCGGCTGTATTTTTTAAGACCTCAAGGCCTAAACCCTTCAGCAGAAACCCCAAGCCATCCTAAAACTAAACCTCAAATCCTCTGACCCTGAACACAAGAAAGAGAAAAAGACGCCCAAGAAGCAAGGGAGAACATCGAGACAGCCAATGCTTTAGGGTCTAGGGATTTTACGAGATAGTAGCCCCTAACATTTCCTACATAATTAGATTATGAAACACCCCCAAACCCCAGTCTCAGTAGTAAAGCCCGGGAACTCTAAACCCTGAAACCCCTAACCCCAACAGAGCCCGTAGACAAACCCATATCGGTAGTCCTCTACAGTAGGGTCCCCTTTGAGGTCCCAAAATGATCTGGAAACCTTAAAGGGACCCTGCCACTATGGAACCCTAGTCGGATCGTACCTTTAAAGGGATCCATAAGGGTGCCTTGAAAGGGATCCATAAGGGATCTATAAAGGGTTTAGGGTTTAGAGTTCCAAAAATTAGGGTACGGGCCCCTGTTTTCGAAGGCGTTGACGTTGTGGTGTTGACCAGAGGTCGTACTTGGAGGTTCGTGGGTAGTCATAAGTGGAGTTATAAGTAGAGGAACTATACTTATAACCTATATTAGGGGACTTACAACTCCACTTATACCTACCCATGAACCTCTAAGTAACAACCGAACCCGAAGTTCCAGCAATCAACAGACATTGTACCTTGTATCACAACGTCTAAATCCTGAACCCGAAACCGTTCTACGAGCTGTCCTTGACTTTCCTGCGGTGGTTGTTGCGGCTGGTGCTGCTCTGGATGTGTCGGGCTTCGGTAGGCCGTGGAAACATCAAAGAAACAGAACAGGCTCCGAACCCAAAGAGTCTAACCACTGCACCGGCAGAGAGCCCAATACACCACGGTTCTTTGAGGGAATGAGGAAATGGGCCACAGGGGCTCCTACAAGGAACCAACGGGGACGATCACAGGGATCCATTCCTGCATTGCGTACTAACAACCCGGGTTGAGGGTTGGTTTAGTACCATAAACCCCAAACCCTTAAACCCTAAACCCTTAAACCCTGAAACCCTAAATCTTTAAACCCGTAAATCCTAAACCCCCAAGCTCGAAACCTTGGCCCCAAAGTCCAACTCCCCAGGGGTCCCCGTCTTGGAAAGCACGAGACCCAGCTGCAGAAAGTGGGGAACCTCGGCTTAGGGCTGAAAGTTTAGGATGGTTCATGGTACAGGGGTTTGGGTTTAGGGTTTGCAGGTTATGATGGTTCAGGGTATAGGGGTCGGAAGAGTTAGTAGTAGTATCATAGGATCCAAGCACGGCCTTGTTGTCTAGTTTTATAAGGATTTACAGAGCATTCGAGAGGCTTAGGAATTATTAGTAATCGTCTCCCCGAAAAGTCCCTGCCTAATAACACGAGAAAACAGCCCCTAAGCCCTAAATTGTAATTCTTAAGGCCCCTACGCTAAGGGTTTCAAGCTGTGGCTTCGGATTTGGTCTCTGCATGGAATACAGCTTGGGGTGACAGTGAGGTCGGGTTCGAGTGTAGTGTAGGGGCCTAAATAGTCACCAAGTTGAATTTTCCTTAAGGGCTCCTCATTGCAATTAGACTTTAATATGTCCAAAACAATTGTCAAGGCCCCTTTTTTGCGGAGACTCATCCTATATAAGGTCCGACGGCTTCTGGTGAGAAAACCAGCTGCAAGCTTGTCTCACGGTTTGGGGCGTAGGCCTTGGGGGTCTAGGGTTTGGCACTTTAAGGGTTTAGGGTTTAGGGTTGGTTTGAGCACCTTTTCTCCCTCGTCCGCCTAAGCCTCCAAGAGAAGACCTATGTGGTCAGGCGCAGGGTTTGGGGTTTAGGGCTCTGGCTTCAGGGTGTTCCAGAAGGCCGGCACGAGGCAAGCGCATGAATTCGCATCTGTGTTTTCCGTACGCCTGTATGTCTGCATGTCATTGAACACTAAACTCCGGGAGGATTGCACTCAAACAGATTTAAAGGGCCTGCATAATTGGTGATATTCTTCCCTACCGCCGCCGACTGTACTGGCAGTCCGGTGCACCCCAAACTCCCTCTCTATGGCCGTACGCCACAAACACCAACGCGGAAGCCTTATGAGGCTTTCGGACTATACCGTAACATACTATACTATACTGTACTATTATACGAAACTATACCCTACCATATTACACTATGTTATGCTATGCTATACCATACTATACCATACCATACTATGCTATACTAAACGAGTATAATGAAAATGGGAACTGTAAGGGGAACCCTAAACCCTAAACCCAAAGTCCCTCAGGGCTATACTATGATGAAAATCGGAACTGTAAGCGGGAACCCTAAACCCTGAACCCTGACCCCAAAATGTTACTCTCACCCTGCTGCGGGCCCTGGTGCGTAAGCGATGGCCCAAACGGCCGGGATTGTCGCCAAAGCAGGAAGGAACATGTCCTGAGAACCCTAAACCCTAAAACCCTAAACCCAAAAGCCTAAACTCTCTAAACCCTGAACCCTAAATCCTAAAACCCTAAACCCTAAGCTCGAACCCCGGGAGCAAAGGATCCGATGCAGAATCAGTAGTATAGCTGCCTTATGAACAAGGGTTCTACAAGGGAGCCTGGGCTTAGGGGGTCTTAATAGTTATCTACTATTTGCTTAAGAAACACCAAAAAAAATCCCTATATTACCACCATAAGGAATATATATTTTTCATTTTTTGGGGGTTCTTAAACAAATAGTAGTTATAGCGTATCATATACTAGAATTAAACATGTCAGGGGTTACGGGCTAGTGGCTATAAGGGGATACTATGAGCAAGGACGCAATACTCGCAGATTTTGCCAGGAACACCGGGAAACCCTGTAATTACAGGGAGTGTAGCGGGGATCCTGCTTTAGGGGGCTCTTCAGGAGAGGCGGAGATTAGATTCCATAACCCTAGCATGCAGGGTTTATGGGTCAGGTCTGCTGCAAAGGGTTTAGGGTTTAGGGCTTTAGGGTTTTAGGGTTTAGGGTTTAGGGTTTTAGGGTTGAGGGTTTAGGGTTTTAGGGTTGAGGGTTTAGGGTTTTAGGGTTGAGGGTTTAGGGTTTAGGGTTTTAGGGTTGAGGGTTTAGGGTTTAGGGTCTGCTGTAAGAGGGGAGAATCCGAGTGCATCAGGCGCCTGAAACGTAGTGACCAGGGCACTTGAGTATGGCGTCGATCCAGAACTGGATCTGTGCAAGAACCGCGGCCAGAAACCGTGAACGTTAAACAGGGCATGATATCCGAAACCCTACTCTCCAAACCCCACACACCAATTCCAGATCCGAGATCCCAAACCGGCAAGCCCCTTAACCCTAGTTTCATTTAACTGAGAGACTTCACTCCTACAATCGCCCGTAGCCCTGGACAACAAAGGGTCCTTCATGACGCGCATGAGGAGCTCCTGTCACGTTCACAGGCACCAGGTATATTCCATTTTGCATGGCTGGGCTTGGGCTTTCGCATGTTTGAGTAGGGATGTTCGGCTGTTGGGTCAAGCCGTTCGTCCATGCGCACCCGGTTCCCTATGTAGCGGCATTGAGAATTGGAACAGAGTGGGGTACATGGAACAGACATAAAAAATTCAATCAATGTTCTGGTTTCAGGGCTCGGACAATCCCGTTTGCGTTTGCGGCGTCCTGCACTCGCTGCTGCACGGATGGCGGAAGCCTCGCTATCGTCTGCATGACCCACGCCGGCGGTGCCTGATTTCAAAAGCTGACCTCTTCTTATTGGGGGAGGGAAGGTTCTTAAGATTCGGTACCCTTTTTTTCCGGAGAGGATGTTCTGCTTGAAGCTGCTATTTGGGATACCATACAAGGGAGAACTCAGGGTGCAGGGCTTAGCGACCCGGACCCAGAAACCGCAAGAAACCCAAACAGCTGAAATCCTAGAATCCTCTCCAAAGCCTTCTCCAAACCCCTGTGAGCATCCCTCAAATCCCTAAACCCTGAAACCCCTAAACGCCCCTAAACCCTGAAAGCCCCCCAAACTAAACCCCAAAACCCTGAATCCGACTTCCGGGGTAGAGAAGCCAGTATAAGGCGAAATTCTGCTCAGAGGTTTAGGGGGCTTACTTGGAGGGTCGGGGGACTTAGAAACTGGCTATGATAGGACTTTTTAAGTACCATAACCCCAATTAGGGTCCCTCTTAGGGTACTTCTAAGTCTACTTACTACCTACTTACTAAGCCCCCTGACCCTCCAAGTAGTAAGTCGGTTATAGGTAGGGTCATAATTTTCGTAACTCCACTTAGGGTACTTATACCCCTACTTGTAACCTACTTACTAAGTCCCCTGGGCCTCTAAGTACGAAGACCTTCAGACGAGGGTTCAGGATTCAGGAGCTTCGAATACTATAGGGGCCTTAATGATTAGACTAGGGTTCCCTTTAATAAAGGGATCCTGAAGATTAAGAGGGTTCTTTTAGGGATCTACAGTAGGGGTATATGATATAAGGGCCTTAATTGTTAGGATGGGTTTCGGGGCCAAATATACGCTAACTACAGTAAGGAACCCCCAAAATAGTAGTGGTAATTATTGAGGCCCCTGTCTTAGTCAGTGGCGCGACCACGGAAAAAGGTCACTACGGTGCCTGAACGCCCTGCACCCTTTTCCACGTGAGGATCTCAACCCTATGCTCTGAATCTAAACCTCCAGACGGTAAGAAGCCGTGTAAAACTTCTAGAAGGACCCCTCAGTACGCTTTGTTAGTGCTTTTTAGGGCCTCTCGCAGCCAACAGATCCCGAAAACAAAAATTCACGAGCTCCAGCAGACCCCCCCCGCCTCGAAATCTCTACCCAGAGAGGAAACCCCTTAAACTATGGAAGTGGTTCTTGATCTGACTTCAGGTACATGTTCCTCATGTACAGAATTTAGGGCTTGGCGCCCACCCCCTAAACCCTAAACCCCAAGCCCTACTAAAACCCTGAACCCTAAACCCTAACCCTACCCAAAGGTGGCACCTGCATGGCTCAAAATCGGCCACTGCAGCTCCGGGGCGCGATGGATCTGCTTTCGAAAGCAGCTTGCCAGAGTCTCTATAGACCCTAAAAAAAGCGTAAACACTGCAATCCTACCCAAACCCCTAAACCCTAAACTGCAAGGCCCTAACCCCAAATCCCAAAACCCTGAACCAGAGATCCTCCACTTGTCCGGAGTCTCGAAGCTATGAGGCCAAGCAGCTCTGATTGCAAAAGGTAGAGGCTACTAGATTCGGGGATCGTTTCGGCCTGGGGTTTAAGGTTTGGGATTAGGAGTTTGCAGCTGGAGAAGGGTGTCGGCGCTCGCACTTGACCGCCAATTCGTGTTGCTGAATGAGCCAAAAGCAGTCGAAGAAGCTGGAACCGATGCAGCTAATTTAGCTTGACAGCAAGCACGGTGCATTCCAAATCAAACAACAACTCATGCTGAGCAACTACATCAGCTGTGAAGCTCTTGATAGCGTATGACCAGCCGGTCGGAGTTTCATGGGTAGGCAAAAGTGGAGCTACCCCAATCCCTACACCCCCTAACCCCTAAACCGTAAACCCTCAGCCTAAATTATAAAACCCCATAGAGCCCCTAAAGGAGCCTTACAACTCTCCACTTACGACTAGCCATGAACCTCCAAGCACGGATCATAGCCTCGGAGACCTGGATCTGCCTTGAAAGGGCGAAGTTGAAGTTGAGGCCTGGCTAGGATCGCTGTTTCGGGTTTAGGGGGCTCTAGGGGTTTAGGGGTTTAGGGTTTAGGGGTGTGGGGTTTGGGGTTTAGGGGTTTAGGGGCTTAGGGTTTAGGGCTTTAGGGGTTTAGGGTTTAGGGGTTTGGGGTTTAGGGGTTTAGGGGTTTAGGGTTTAGGGATTAGGGATTTAAAAATTTAAGCTTTAGGGTTGAGGGTTCAGGGTTTGGGGTTGAGGGTTTAGGGTTGAGGGTTTAGGCTATGATCATTTTCTGGGGTTTCGGGTTCCTTTAAGTTGAGGCCTGGCTAGTTAAGGGTTGCTTTAAAGGTTCCTTTAAGTTAAGGCCTGGCTATGATCGTTGTTCAGCGTAGAGTTTGGGGTTTGGGGTCTGGGAAAAAGGGTTTGGGGTTTAGGGTTTAGAGGTCGGATGAAGTCTAGGGTTGAGAGTTTGGAGTATTATGGCTTATAGGGGTTGTGGCGGTGATCCGCACTTAGTCTTAGAGCTTTTGGATTTTGGTAGGGAGAGGGTCTGTTGGGTTGATATTGCTGGCTCAGCAGTACATGTGTTAATCACTCACTAAATCACGAAAAGCCCTATGCTAGCTTTCAAGCCACTGGGTTTAGGTTTGGAGGGTATTTGCAGGCTCGCCCATGGGGCTCCCGAGTAACAGTTTCGGCTGCTTTTTCCTCAGGCCTCCTCCGCTGATGGAGCGGATTTCGGTGGCGTTCATTGCAAGGACAGTTTACGGTGGCGCAGTTCCCAATTCCTAAAAACCCTAACCCAAGACCCTAAACCCTAGAAGCCCTAAACCCTAAAAGCCCTAAAACCCTAAACCCCAAAAACCTAAAAACTCTAAACCCTAAAAACCCTGCACCCTAAAACCATCAACCCTGCAAGCACGGCCTCCATCTTGGCCCACTCCTGCTGTTGCCTGCTAGACAACACAAAGCTCAGGGATAATTAGAATAGGGTTTTCGGGCATACTATGCTATACTTAAAATGAGGAACCCCCCAAATAGTATTGAAATTCGTACCTGGACACCAAAAGTATGTAGAATAATGGCCTTTTAGAGGTGTTGGGCCAATATTTTACCTACTTAATTATTTAGGCACCTTCAGTATCCCAGGTGCCTGCGGTCGGATCCGGCACATGTTGTTCACTTCGGGCAGCCACCAAAGAGAGAACTTCGCCTGCAAACGGCCAAGAGTGCGATCGGCCGCGCAGGTTAGGCTTCGGGTGTAGAGCCTAGGGCTTTTTTGAGTACACTTCTCGATTTGTGCGTGTCATCCTTGCGCAGGGGCCATGCTAATCTTCTCAGTATCCTTCCAAGTTTATCGGAAAAAGATGAGATTAAATGAAGGTCTGCATCCACTTCCATTGCAGGACAGCCTCCTTGAAGAAGTCGTAGAACTCTGCTTTGGCATCTGCCCTCGCCTGCCTGAGACAGATGAGTCCAATTCGGATCTGGAAGGCATCTGAAGTTTAAGCTTCAGATAAAGAGTCTAGTTACTTGAAGGCTCATGGGTAGTTAACTAATTAGTGTTATCAACGCCTAATATGGGCCATAGTTATAGTTACCCTACTTATAACCCCACTTATGACTACCCATGAACCTCCAAGTAGTGAGAAATATCCAGAAATGAGATTCTCGAGATTGCGCGGGTCGACGCTCATGGCTCTAGAGCGGAGTGCGGCTCGCCTGTCTCTGGGTTAGGATTCCCGAAACACTACTCTTAAGGATGGAGGCTATTGGGCTTCCAACTTTTGGGCTTCTGCTGTAGGGTTTGAGGTTTGGAGTTGAGAGTTTGGGAGTAAGGGTTCAGGGTTTAGGGCTTGATGTTTGGGGTTACTTGACTTCGTGCGCAAATTTATGTCGAGATCGAGATGAACCTTCCCGAGGCACAAACAACATGGAGCGGGATCACGCACAACGTCGGAGAGGTGCAACTGCAATGTTAAGGCCATGTTGACATCGCGAGGTCACAGCTTCCATGGATGAAATACTCTTGGAGCTTACGTGTCTTGGTCTGCCAAACACGAAAGACGGGGGCGGCTGCAGCCCTGAAGCGTAAGCCCATCAGAAAACCAGATTTGCGGCTTTGGCTTAATTAAAGGTTTACTACAAGCCTCCTAAAACCATAATGAAACGTAGATTCTGTGGGCTCAGGGTCTTTTAGGGCTTGGAGCCCCATGTCCTACGTCCGATGCGCAGTTTTCCCTGCATCTGGGCCCACTGCACGAAGAGGGACAGGCCCACTACGCGGACGAACCTGAACTTGTCTGCACGTGCATATGGCGTAATGTCAGGGTGTGCCACTACATCACGTACTACGAAAGAGAGAGAAAGAGAGAGAGAGAGAGAGAGAAAAGAGAGAGAGAGAGAGACAGAGAGAGAGAGAGAGAGGGAGAGAGAGAGAGGGAGAGACATCGAGGTTCACTTACCTACATATGCATGGAAGCAGACCGGCTGTGAATGGTAAGGGTGTGAAAAAGATATACACATGTAGGTTGAGCCAGAGATACAGATATGCCACTGACATCACACATCTGCATGAGAGCGAGCATGTGCACATTTTGCAGACTACACCTTTTTCATATCATATGCGTATATGTATACACGGATGAACAACACGTGCACAAGCAATCTCATGTAAGTACACAAAAACGATTCAAGGTGTGTCGTAAGTGTCGGAAACACTGAACAGTAGGTGTGCAAGAACACACACACACAGACACACACACACACACACACACACACACACACACACACACACTCTCTCTCTCTCTCTCTCTCTCTCTCTCTCTCTCTCTCTCTCACACACACACACCCACGCAAGTACGGACACACGCAGGCATCCACATGGTGGTACACAGATATGTTCAGACACAGGGGCGGCTGCTCAATTTCGCACTTGCTTATACATCAAGGATAACAACACCCAGGGCGGTGCCGTAACGGTCAGCATCACCGCTACGATCCGCGCCATCGTCACCGTCGCCACAACACGACAAACTGATCAATCGCCATCATCGTGGCCCCATATTCTAATATGACCTCCCAACCGCCACCTAAGAAAATCTGCAGGTACAGCGGAGCACTTCTCTCCATTGCCTTCACTTGACACAGTGACACAGTGATGCCACAGTCCAAGATGTCGGGGCCGGCTTGAGAATTTGGCAACCCTCCGTCATCTCCAAACACTTCAGGTCCACCCCTCTTATCGTGGCCGGAAAACGCAAAGACAAGCGTTCCATCCTGCTAGACATGCCGACACCGACTCGCAGCCGATGTTGGGGTAAGGTGAAGCATGAACATTTCGACACCCAACCCCGGAGCCTGCAGTTGCAGCACAAGGCTAACATGACACAAACAAAGTCCTGCCAAAGCGAAAGTTGAACCGGAAAGCCGACCAGGACCCCCCGCCCCGATGGCCCTTTAATGGAGCCCGGATCGGTATATTGGGGGGGTAGTAGGGGGGTCTAGGGACAACCCCACTAGTTGCAAACCAGCTTTAGTATGGCTAGACCCAAGAGTAGCCTAGGAATAAAAAGGTTGCCCTTTTGTGTTTAAAGGGGCTTATAAGGGAACCTGAACCCCAAAAAAGGGAATAAGGGCCTACTCTAGGTCCTAGATGGGGCTTCGCGGCTGCGTCAACTCTGACAAACATGACTGCCTCAGATCAGCCAGGCTACAAACAACAGAGCCAGAACTCTGCTATCAAATAATGTAGGAGCCTTAAAAATTAGAATAGGGTTTTGGGGCCCATTATACTATAATTATGATAAGGAACCCCCAAAATAGGATAATTATTTAGGCCCCTATATTACTGCTACGAAACTATCTTCGACATAACCCTTGTCCTGACAGTGCCGACGATACTGACAAAGCTGCTGCAGAAACGGAGCTAAGTTTATGGCAAGACCTGCCCAACCACGTCGAAACGTCGGAAGAATGAAATCCTGGGGTGGGAACCACTGAATCATGCACGAGTGCCTTGGACCCTCTCTGAACCATCATTGAGGTCAGGGCTTGTCCGGATGACCCAGAGGTGAGAGCATAAACTCTTTCGGGATGGACCTGGGTGGTAACTTTGGTGTTTCGGGTTCAAAGCAGGTTTACGCTTGGGGTTTCAAGGTGTTCGATTTACAGCTGTCGGCCGTCGACCGTGAAGCAATGCTTCAAGAGAGAGAGAGAGAGAGAGAGAGTACGTGCCCTTTCTGTCAAAGGCACTTGTACTTTGTATCCTATTCGTACACAGGTCTGCTCCAAGGTGCAGCTGGTGCAAGACTGTCCCACATCCTGTCCT